TCCTTGTACTCCTTGGAACTGTCTCCCTTCCACTGCTTCCAGAAAGTGACCTGGGCCTGGGCCAGCTCGACGGGGCTGGGAACAGACTCTGCACGATCTGCTTCGGCTGGTTTTGGCTTGTCCCCGTCACGTTCGCCACGACCGTCAGCTGCCACTGTGTCTGGCGGACCCCGAGACTTCCCACGGCGCCAACGCCCGTGGCCTCGTCCTTGCTGTCCTCCGTCGCTGCGATCTTCTGGCGGTGCCCAGGAGACTGCCCGTGTTGTTGATGAGGATGGCCCACCGCCTGCAGGGAGCGGGTCGTTGAGCCCCATCTTCTTGTGTGAGAGCTTCGCGTCACACTTGGCGCAGTGAGTCACCACGATCGGCCCAGGCCCAGCCGCTGCAGCCATGCCATGGGCACACAAGATACTTGCTGCGAGCCATCGCGCCACTTCTATCACAAACAATGAGCCGATGAGAACGGGCAGTGCGAGATAGCCCCTCGGGCGATGGAAAGCCGCCGTGCGCTGGCACAGCGTCGTGCTGAAAGCCTGGGGCGAGGCAGCCAGGCCTGATGGAAGGGGCTGCCCTTCCACCTCGCCCTCGAGCCTCTGGAGTCGGGACCCACGGGAGGTAAACTCCGTGAGACTTGAGCCAAAATGGCTACGGGAGGAGGAGACGGAGGAGGAGGAGGAGAAGGAGGAGGAGGAGGAGGAGGAGGCGGGAAGGAGGAGGAGGAGGAGGAGGAGGAGGGGTAGGAAGAGGACGAGGAGAAGGAGGAGGACGAGGAGGAAGAGGATGGTCCGCTGGGCTCGCAAACCAGAAACCCGACGCGGCCCTGACTGTACAAGGGGCCCATGGGGCAGGCGCGGCTCGCCGGGCTCGCGCGGCGCATTGGGCCCATGCGCATTGCGGCACACCTGTGGCCCAGGATACCTTTCTTGGACTCGTGGGGTTCACGGAGTTGCCGAGGCTTGCGCGGCGCCCGAAGCTCGTGCGGCCCACGGGGGTCCGGTCGATTCCTTCGGGGACATGGACAAGGCCCGCATTGCTCCCGCGCGCGCAGAGACGGCATTCATCAAAAGGGAGGCGTTACCCCGAACGGCAAACGACAAACGACTTCTTGAATGATATAACTCAAAAATCCCGTTTACATCGAAACAACAACAACGCATCCATACACGCACCCACCCCGCCTGACAAACGAACGACGAACGTCGACAATCACCTGAAACACTCTTCTTGAACAACGAACGAAAGAACTACGAAACCCGACCACTCACTTCGAAATGACATACGAACACCCAAACATGAACCCACGTGGTCAACGTTGCGACATGCGCGCCGCTGCGACGATAATCCCGGCTTCGCGATCATCAACAAGCTGGGGCAAACTCGACAACAAAAAAACGGAACGTCGCGTTTTGACCGCACGACCGCAACAATCGACACGCGACTGCACATTGCACTTAGACTCGATGTCTCAAACATGCGATGATAAACATCACATCACATCGAGAATGCAAATCATGTTGGGATCCAATATGGGATCATATTTGAATCCCATTTGGGGGTCGTGCTGACACCCACTTGGAAGCCGATTGGGCTCGGCGTCGATCAAGATCCTGTTGAATCCTTGGTGAAATCCGACGGGGGTCCAAAGCGAGGACACTGCAATCCACTTGGAAAACGATTGGGGCGTTCTGTAATGAGGAGGAGGAGGAGGAGGAGGAGGAGGAGGAGGAGGAGGGGGAGGAGGGGGAGGAGGGGGAGGAGGAGGAGGAGGAGGAGGAGGGGGAGGAGGAGGAGACTGGAGCGCCACTGCATTCCCAGTGGCCCGAGCCACCACCGGACGAGGGACGGCGCGCGCCCAGACTCTGGTGGACGCCGAGGAACGGCCCGCGGCGGGCTCCCCGGTCGACTGGCTGAGGTGACGAACGACGGCAGGAACTGAGGAGGAATGAGCGGGAGCAGGAGGAGGACCAGCGAGAACGATGAGGAAGCACTCGGATCCAGAAAAGTGGCCCGCGCGGAGCGAGAGCGCCACTCGGAACGACGGGACAGAGCCCTGATCTCAAAAGGGGCCCACCCGCAGCGGGAGCGCCATCGCGGAATGAACGTGAAGGCTCGCTGTTTTTTGTAGAAAAAAACATTACAGTCGGGGCGTTGACCCAAAGGAACCCAAAATAAGGAACGGGGCCCCTATTCTCCATAAGTTCAGCCTCGGTGTCCCATCGAAAACCTGAGGGGAAAGCCCGAGGCAAACTTTGAAACATTCAGGGAACACCGAGCCCCTCCCCAACGAGAAGGGTTCCTTCTTCAGCGCCCCCGGCTGTACCGCCGAACGGCGGACGAACGACGCGGCGAACCCTGCGCGACGTACCCACGTGTTAGCTGATGAAAACCCCCTCATCCACACAGGCCCTGGGCATTTCATTTTTAGAAAGGGTTTTGGCGCTGGTGTCGGGTTCCCGTGCGCGGAAAGCCAGGCAGCAGGAACCGGGAGACTGGGAACACAATCGCCTGCCAAAATCGGCCCAAACATCTACGCCACATGTAGTGCTACACATAATGCATATGTTTTGACACATGTATGTACCTACAATATACATGTGACTACATTGTTACAGATGGAAGCACGGGGAACTAGATGGGCGACGACGAGGAAATGCCTGATAAGTAGGAACGCGCGCCGCGCGCGTGAACGTGCACCACCCGCGCGGTTTGTCGCGTTCGCTTCTGTTGTTGCTTTGCGAAGGATGCGTGCTTCCAGAGCTGTCTCGTCCTTTGTGATGACACCCTAGTGGAGCATGGAGGTGGCCTGGCCGATCTCGCAGGCCGTGGGCATTCATGCGCGAACTATCAGTCGCAATCCAAATGTGGCTGCACCGATGTGGCCGAATGCTGTATAATCGTTTGGTCGTGTACGACATCTTCTTGTGAAGGCGCTCGGGCGCGGGCGCGCGCCGCGCCGCTCCGAAGCCACCGCGGGAAAACCTCCCGTTGCAAACTTCTCCGGCCACGCCGCCTCGCCCCGTGAGTGCCGCTGTTGCAGATGTCTCGGGCACGATGCCCAGACTCGCAGGCGCGGCCATGCGGATGCTCGGTCCGACATGAAAGCTGCACGTGGGTGGCTTCCTCGTCGCCGCCGACCTCGCGCAGCCGCTCAACCTGCGTTGGCGTTGGGTTGAATGAAAAGGCCTATGCGAAACACCGTTTCTGTGCGTGGATGCCCGCACCATTGCCGATCGATTACCAAACAATTCCATCCCGTGTAGTGAAAGGGAACCCCGGTAACACTTTGGGCCACGGTGGTGTCGCGAGTTTTTTCTTTTCGCTTCCAAAACCCTCTTCCCTTTGGGGGGGACCCCCTTCTCCCCTCCCTGAGTTCTTTTGCCGAGTTCTGCGAGGGGTAAAGGCGTCCAAGATGGCCCGAGACGGCCCCAGAGGGCCTCCGACGCTCCAAGCTGGCCTCCATGGCGGGTCAAGATAGCCGAAGCTGGTTCAACATGACATCCGTCCAAGAAGCCCGACGAAGGCCCCAAGACGGTTCCAAGTGTCCCAAGGGCCCCCTCAGGACCCCACCCCTCGAGAGGCCAACGTCCCACAACGACCTTTGGAAAAGCAGTGATTTGCGCCTTCTCGCCTTTTCGCTCCCGACGCGCTTTACAGACCCAAAGGGGATACAAGAGTAACGGCCCGAGAGAGCCCCGACGACCCGAGAGAGCCCCCAGAAGCCCGGACGGAGCGATCCCGTGGGCTTCTAGATTCTAGCGCCGCACACATTCGCTTGTTTTAAATGTGAAGCAGCTTCACGGATATAGTGTATGTCGCCTGATTGCCACGCACATTCGTCTTAAAAGATTGCAGCACTTTCGCTGTTGAAGGGTGGTCTCTCTTCAAAATGTGGCTCTCGACCCAGTGCGGTGCACATTCGTCTTAAGAGTTTGCAGCAATGTCAAGGATTATTGTGGTTGATGTGGCATGGTGTAGGACCTTCAGGATACACCAGTTACGTTCATTCGCGGTGCTTTGTCCAAAGAACGGTGTTCTGGCACGACTCAGGATCGTCAAGACGCAACAGTAACGTGATCCGCGGCGTTGGAGTCGCAGGAATGGTGTTCTGGCATGGTTCAGGACTTTTCAGATGATTGTCTCCCAACGGGGTCCTTCCCTCACTGAAAACGAATCCTTGTAGGGACATCTGATGAGGGAACTTGGAGGGAGGGTGTATTGCAACATCGTTGATGGGTCTTGGGTTTGGACTTGTCCTCCGCATCCTCCCCGTCGTGACTCCTCAATTTCCGTCAATGAAGAGGTTGAGTCACGAGGTGCGGGCAGATGCGGTCAAAACGCACAGTGACCTAGGACGTACGGTGAGGCTCCAGTACCCTGAGGCGTCCATTTTGAAAAAGCCACAGCGGCGATGACTTCAGGGTAGCCTTGGCGAAGCAATGCACCCCTTTACGGCCGGCGGATCAAATCGCGACGACGTCGGCATGTGGTTCCAAAAACCGCGCGGACGGTTCAACCTTGAACGATCGAGATTTGCCGAAAGCGCAGATCGCTCGACGTTAGCCCATTCTGGCGGGCGTTCGGCGTTGAACGCCCTACGCCAGGATCGCCTCTGCGTCAAGACGGCGCGGACCGACCAAGTCCGCTTTGAATCGGTCCCCGGACCTGTCCTGGTGTCCATCTGGGGCAAAGCTTCATCCCGGATTGACATTTGACAGTCCCGGGGATACGTAAACACAAAAACACCTCTAGACGCCAACAACGGCTAGAAACCTCGGACTTCTACCTTGTACCCTCGTCGCCTCGGCGCGAATCAATCCTGCTGGCATCGACTGTGCAGCGACCACGGGGAAGTGAGAGGAGGAGGAGGAGGAGGAGGAGGAGGAGGAGGAGGAGGAGGAGGAGGAGGAGGAGGATGGGGAGGAGGAGGAGGAGGAGGGAGGAGGAGGAGGAGGAGGAGGAGCAGGACGAAGACGAGGAGGAGAAGATGCTCCGCGGCACGCCTGGCATTCTGCAGCTGCAGGCCGACGCACAGGCCCTGCGGCGAGGCCGCGGCGTGGTCGCCACCGCACCCACGACGGCGGCGGCGGCGACGGCAAGCGCGGACGACGCTGCGCAAACATCTCGTCCTGCTGCTGCACCGCCACCTCCTCCTCCTCTTCCTCGTCCTCCTCCTCCTCCTCTTCCTCGTCCTCCTCATCCTCCTCGTCCTCTTCCTCCTCGTTCTCCTCGTCCTCCTCCTCCTCCTCCTCCTCCTCCTCCTCCTCCTCCTCCACTCGCCACCTCTCGAGCTGGATGTCCACGGAGGTCCCTGAAGGCCTCCACATGCGCAGGAAGGCCTCGCGAGCGCCAACAAAAGCGTTCCAGAGGCTGGGTCCTCGTCCTCGGGGCACAGGTTCGGCAGAGCCTCAGCGCACCCACACCGCCTCACCAAGCCTCCTACGAGGGAGAGCCCCACCCAAGAATGGGCTGTGGCACCGCGCCCTCCACCAGCTTCCGTGATCGGGCACAGATGCGTCGCAGCACTCTTCCACAGCCCTCTGCAGCGTGATGTGGCATTCAGAACTCCGAACACTCCCAACGCTGGCCCTGGGGAGCGCTTGGGACCGCATGGGAACGCACAACAAACAGCAACTCTCGACCCCCCCTTCCACGGGGGAGGGGGGGGCGCTTTTTCTCTCCTCCCGAATCGTCGAATCGGCAACCCCAGGGCTCAGACAAACGGCCCCCAGACGCACAGCAACCGGCAGCTCTCAACCCCTTCCAGGGCGTCCCCGCTTTTCCTCTCCTCCCGAGTCGTCTCATCGGCAGCCCAAGGGCTCAGACCAACGGCCTCCAGACGCACGGCAACCGGCAGCTCTCGACCCCTTCCAGGGGGGGGGGCCGCGTTTCCTCTCCTCCCGAATCGTCGAATCGGCAACCCCAGGGCTCAGACAAACGGCCCCCAGACGCACGGCAACCGGCAGCTCTCGACCCCTTCCAGGGGGGGGGGGGGCGCGTTTCCTCTCCTCCCGAGTCGTCTCATCGGCAACCCAAGGGCTCAGACAAACGGCCTCCGGACGCACAGCAACCGGCAGCTCTCGACCCCTTCCAGGGGGGGGGGGTCCGCTTCTCCTCTCCTCCCGAGTCGTCTTATCGGCAATCCCAGGGCTCGAACAAGCGGCCTCCAGACGCCGACACTGCAAACCAAACCAAGAGAGCCCAGAGTCGAATCGACGAGTCGGATCGACGATCGAACCGGATCGGATCGGCGGAGATCGGCAGCCCAGTCGGGAAAAGTCGAATCGTCGGAAATCGGCGGTCTAGTAGGCCTCCGTTGAGAAATCGGATCCCAAATCGGAATCCAAAGTCGAATCGAATCGGAATCGGAAACCATCAAAATCGAATCGAATCGAATTGGAGGAATCGAAACGAGCCCTGCAAACCCTCGGCGCGTCATCTATGAGCCGCCAGGAATCGGGCGCCCGGCACGAGGGAGCAGGCCGGCGGCTCACGGAGGCGATTCGCCGAGGAGGAGCGAAGACTCGAGGATCGAGGAGGAAGATCGAGAGGAGGAGACTCGAGGATCGAGGAGGCGGCTCGACGAGGAGAAGCGAGGATCGAGAGGAGGATAATCGATGATGCCTGTTGAGCCTGTTTCTCCCCGCCCTCTTGGGAGCGGCCTCTCGCCGCCGCGGCGGCGAGGCGGCCCGCAACAAGAGGAACTTCTGGCGGGAGCGCTTCCCAGGACAAGCCCTCAAGGCAAATCCTCACAAGGCTCAGAGGGGAGGAGGAGGAGGAGGAGGAGAATGGTAGTGAACATGACACATGACTACAAGACAGCATCTTAAGAGGAGGAGGAGGAGGAGGAGGAGGAGGAGGAGGAGGAGGCGGACCCATGGAGCCCCAGAAGGTCTCCAAGGCAATTCTTCACAAGGCTCGAACTCTGAGGGAGCAGGAACAGGTTGGCAGAGCGCCCAAGGGGATGATGGGTAGGGGGGAGGTCTTCTTTGAAGAAGGCTGCTTCTCCGAAGGCGGCAGGCCTGCATCTGTAGACGAGGCCCGCGCAGAAACTCTCCGCGTTTCTTGGTAATGGAGAAGAGGTTACAGGCGAAGCCCAACCCTCGTACCTAGGCTTGCCCGGATGAGGGGGGAAGAGGACGCAGGGAGAGGAGGGAATGTCCTCAGGCTGCAGTCGCAGGAGGAGGCTGACAAGGAGGAGGGTCCCACGCCCTACCTCCGGCGTGCTGTGGCTTCCTCCATTGGCGTGGTACTCCGATTTCGGTCCCTGCCAAGGCCGCGTCTGGCCCCCAGGACCATCATAACAGCACTGACTGGGAAGAAGACAACGATTCCGAGGATACGGGTCGAAAGCTTTAGGCGTCAGCGGTCTGGGAAAGGGAGTTGCCATGGCGTAGCGGTTTCCCGCGAGAGAGGCGAATATGCCTCCCGGGGCCTTCCGAAGATCGCCTTTTCACCCTGAGTCGTAATTCGACGGTCCTGTTCCCGAGAAGCTCAACGCAGGACCCATCTCCCTCGGATATGACGAAAATCAAAAAAGAAGAATGATGACGGAGAGAACGATGACAACGATAACGATCACAATGACCACAATGCTGTGATCACAACAATGACACCGATAACAACGACAACGACCACGACGATCGCAAGGACAACGATAACCAACGACACTAACAATAACAACGAAACAAACGATCGCGATAACAAAAATAACGATCACAACGATAACAACGATAGCAACGATAGCAACGATAACATTTTTGTTTGGCCATTGGCCCGTGCAGCGACCCTGCCAAAAGCCGGAGCGGCTGCCGCGGGCCGCGGGCTCGCCGCACTGTGCCTGCCATCTTACCCCCGCCGACGAGAGAGAGAGAGACGCCCCCTGCAGGGCATGCCTGACCTGGCTCGTTGCAGAAAGAAGAGCAGGCACAGAAGAAGAGGAGGGTGAATTGGCATGAACAAGGACTCTGGACGCCCAAAACTCGTACACCCTGCGAAATGCTCAATAAATCATGGGTTAAGAAATTCAGAGTCTGCGAATTTGAATAAAAAAACCCGAACTTCTATCAAAATCTTGGGATTTACATTGAAAAGTTAAGAATAATCGAGACTCTGGACGAAAACTTGGGTTTTCTTAAGCATCGCCTAAGGTGTACGGAGGAAATAGGTACGATGCTCAACAACACATGTTGTCTAAAGCCGACAACGGCCGCTGTTGGGCAGAGAGACTTCTGTCTCGAATGGGCAACGGCCGCGGCCTCGCTAACAGCGAACCATGTTCAGAATGAACCAGAACTGATGTTGGACTTTGTATCCATTTAGGCGAGCGCGTTCCACTACTCGCAAAATAACTACTCGCAAATCGCCTGGACCCGCTTACAGCAAAGAAGACATGTGTTGTTCGGGCGTTTGCGAAGTAGTTAAAACGACGCGAAGATCGGGACAGAATCGGATCGGGATACCTCGAAATCTCTGAGAATCGGCGGGTTTGGAGGATGTATATTGGGCGCCGCGGCCGCTCCAGAGCGTTCCGGAACGCTCTGAGAGCGCTCCGGAACGCTCTGGAGCCATTTATCCCGATCCTAGCCCTGTTTGAGCAGTGGAACGCGCTCGGCGACCTTTGTCTCTGTACCCACTTCGATCGCCCCGAGGGACGCGGCGAACGTCGGAGGGGGAAAGAGGCCGGCCGGGCGCGGCCGGGCGTCCTCCCAGCCGTTGGCTATGTCCTGGATGACCATACACTGGCTCGTGCAGTCGGTGTCCAGCACTTGGGTCAAGCCTCGACCCCCTTTCCGCAACTTCCCTCCTTCCTCCGCACCTCGCCCCTCCTTGGGGAAGCAACAAAGGTACCAATAGCCCGCCACTCCCCGGACCTCCCCTGGGGTGCGTTCTGACCAGGATTTCGAGGCGAGCCCAGCGGTGGCGACGAGGGAGGCCCAGGAGGCCCAAAAAGGGGACAACGAGGAGAGGGTAGAGGTATGGGTACCTGTTCCATCTCTGAGTCTTCCTCCTCCTCCTCCCCGTCCTCCTCGTCTTCCTCCCTCTCGCTTCATCACCCCTATCGCCATTCTGCCTCAAGCCATCCGCCTGTCGAGCTCCACCGCGCCTCGCCGCCCTGCGCCACGGCGGCGCCGGGCAGCCCAATCGTGTGCGCCCGCGCAGACCACGAGCGCCGAGAGGCTCGCCGCCGTGGCGAGTGCCAGCACCGAACGCAGGGAGGAGCGCTTGGCCACACGGCAGCTCTCCCGGGGAACGCTCTCCGCGGGTAGGTGCCCTGGGAGAACCTCCTCGGGCCAGTTTGCCAAGGGCTATATATAGTCCACCCAGGGAAGTGCACCCGGGGCATATCGGGTCGGGCGAAAGGGGGGATAGCAAGGAAGGGGTTTGAGAATCAGCTCACGTGGCTGATTTTCCCGGCGCCTCCCGGCGCCAGGAGGCGCCCATGTATCGAGGAGTGGGCCCCTCGGCGGGGCCGAAACCAGCTGCATGCAGCAAATTTCGCAACCCCCCCTTTACCAATCCCCCCCTTTCGTCCGGCCCGAGCAGAATCCGCCCGGGGAAGCGTAGCCGAGGCAGTCTGCCCTCACCCGGGAAGCGAGGTGCAGCCGTCGCGAAGCAGCTGCACGTGGAGCTTCGTGCTGGGACGCGCGCGGCCGCCTGGCGGAGCGCACCCGAGGACCCAGAGGTGCGATGCCGTGATTTGTTCCACTGCGGGGTCCCTGGAAGTCACGACCCATTCCCCAGGACCCGTTGTGCATCCCGAGTCGTCCTTTGACGGTCCCGAGGCCCGGCGAGGGCCCCTGTAGCGCCTGAAAACTGAGAAGAACCTGCGCCTCGATTCTTCAATGCTTTGGATCCCCGGGGATGTGCGCCCAAGGACGTCAAGGTTCAAATTGCACCCCCAGGACAGTTTCGGCCACCCGTAAGAATGAGGACGAGGCAGAGGAGGAGGAGGAGGAGGAGGAGGAAGAGGAGGAGGAGGAGGAGGAGGAGGAGGAGAGGA